TTTAAACTTTATCAAATGGATGTTAAGAGTGCCTTCCTCAATGGTTTTATTCAAGAGGAAGTGTATGTTGACCAGCCCCCGGGGTTTGAGGACTTTGAGTTTCCCGATCACGTCTTCAAACTCAAGAAAGCGCTCTACGGTCTTAAACAAGCACCACGTGCTTGGTACGAACGTTTGAGTAAATTTCTTTTGGATAGTGGTTTCCAAAGGGGAAAGGTAGACACCACACTTTTCATCAAGAGTAAAAACAATAACATCCTTTTGGTTCAAGTTTATGTAGACGACATTATATTCGGTGCTACTAACGAGTCTTTGTGCAAGGAATTCTCAACGCTAATGACTAGCGAATTTGAAATGTCAATGATGGGCGAGCTCACATTCTTTTTGGGACTCCAAGTTAAGCAAATGAAAGATGGCACGTTCATTTTCAAAACTAAATACTGCAAGGAGCTCCTAAAACGTTTTGAAATGGACAGCGCCAAAGCCATGGCGACCCCGATGAGCACGTCTGATCATCTTGACAAAGACGTGAAAGGTAAGGAAGTAGAGGTCAAAAAGTATCGAGGTATGATCGGATCCCTTCTTTATCTTACTGCTAGTAGGCCAGATATCATGTTTAGCATTTGCCTTAACGCAAGGTATCAATCATGTCCGAAGGAATCGCACTTAACGGCGGTAAAACGGATTATGAAATATCTTGCCGGCATGGTAAACGTTGGACTGTGGTATCCAAAAGGCTCTTCTTGTCATCTCGTTGGTTATTCCGACTCGGACTTTTCCGGTTGCAAATTAGACCGTAAAAGTACGAGTGGGACTTGCCACTTACTTGGTAGCTCTCTAGTCTCATGGTTTAGTAAAAAGCAAGTCACTGTTGCGTTATCCACAACCGAAGCGGAATATGTAGCCGCCGGTAGTTGTTATGCTCAAATTCATTGGATGAAGCAACAACTTGTGGACTATGGCCTTAGTATCAATCACGTCCCTCTTCGTTGTGATAATACTAGCGCCATAAGCTTGACTAAGAACCACGTTCTTCACTCAAGGACTAAACACATTGACATTAGGCATCATTTCATTAGAGATCATGTTCTCAAAGGTGATGTCGAAATTGAGTTTGTTGAAACACACAACCAATTAGCCGACATTTTCACAAAACCTTTAGAGAAAGAGTCCTTCTTCCACATTCGAAGTGAACTCGGAATCCTTGACTCCACGATGATCTAAGTTATGCATCTAAACTTGTTAAACGCTTACTAACTTGAGTGTCGGAGAACTCTTTTTCTTTTTTTTTGCAGGTACCCCGTTCATGAAATCAGGGGGAACCATGCCATAAGCGCTGTCCAAGAGACCAAACAGCGCTGTTGAGAGAAACACCGTCAACCAGTTTGTGCAAACAGCGCTGTACAACACGCCAACAGCGCTGTCCCAGGGAGTCCCTTACTCTTCACTTTCCAGAAACTTTTTGAACATCGCTGTTCCAACCTAAAACATCGCTGTCCACCCAAAACACCTTGTTTTCAACCAAAACCAGAAACGTTTTAAACAGCGATGTCCCACTTTCAACATCGATGTCCACTTTTACAAATTTTTTTTCTATCGTAAAACAGCGATGTAGAGAAACCAAACAGCGCTGCTCTAATGGGTTCAACACATTACACAATTCCAGAATGATTTGGAACATCGCTGTAGGAAACCCAACATCGCTGTCCATTTAACACTTGTTTTTAAAACTTGACGCATAACAGCGTTGTCCAGAGGCTCAACAGCGCTGTCCCAACAGCGATGTAGCCTTTGGAACATCGCTGTTCTGGATAAATTTTACAAAAAAAAATATCCGTTAGCACCAGCAATAATTGATCCAACAGCCATAATTTTGAAAATATGGACGTTGGAGACCTCTTCCTCTATAAATTGGGACCTCCTCTCTTCACTTTTACACACACAAACACAATTCTCTTCAACATCCTTGCTTATTTCATCATTTCTACTCTTTTCTCTTGAGATTTCTTCATCATGGGCAAAGATAAGAACAGGGCACGAAATCCAGCGAGGAACGCCTCTACTATGGTGACGGGTCATACCTTTGGTTTGATTCCGAGGAGGAACGCACCCGTTTCCTCACCTTCTTCTCTAAACGGGTTGTGGCTCCTCCACAGATCATCCCGGAGCGCTACCCGGAGCTGCAGGGCTACGACGACCTCGACGCGCAGCTTCATCAGGCCGGCCTTTGGCCTTTCGTCTCCCGGGCTCGGAAGGAGATCAACCCGGCGCTGATTCGGGTCTTCTACTCCAACCTCCGGCGTGAGGGCGACGTGCTCTACTCTCTTGTCAAGAGCACGCCGATAGAGCTTTCAATTGAGCAGCTTGGGCTCATCGCCGGCCTCCCCTACCAAGGCGACGACGTCTCCCTCCATGGCAGAGAGGACTGGGTGCTCAACAACGAGGGCCTTATCCTCAACGAGCTTGGCATCACCGAGCTCATCCGCCATGCCTCGGGCCGCCCCACCATCCACTCCGCTAACCCCGAAGGCTGTCTTCTTCTCTACATCGTCTCCCGGATCATCAAACCCAGGAAGCACGGCCACACCATCATGTCCGGTGAAGATCTCAAGCTCATCCATGCGATCATGCACTCAGCCCCAATCAATTGGGCACAGTTTGTCATGATCAACATGATGATTGCCGCGTCCACCGACCACGACCACCTCCTCCCGTACCCGTTCGTGGTGATGGACATCCTTGAACGGTTCAAGGTGACCACCACCGTTGGCCCACTCACAAAGGCCACGAAGATTTGGGCGGTTAGCACCCAAACCTTCAAGAAGCGGTCGGACAACGCCGGACCTGCCACTGCCGAGCCACGGCCCCGTTCTGCTGCTAGCCCAGCCGAACCCCAGGCCCGGGCCAACCTTGCCTCCATTGCTGACTCTCTCAACCGGCTTCACTTCAAAGTTGATGGGATGGATGGCTACCTTGAAAGACTTGACGAGGCGGTCCAACGCCAAGGGTACGCCATGAACGCGTACTTCCAACGCGTTAACTACGTCCTCCACCGTACCATGGCACGTTCTTTGGGCAAGTGTACGGTGAGGAGGACGAAAAGGATGGCTCCTACGCCCCGTCAAGCTCCCCGGACGAGGACGAGTTCGACGACGCCGTTGACGGTGATGAGATGGACGACGACGACGAGGAGGAGGAAACGAAGACGAAGACTAGGCCGCCCCTAGAATTTCTATCTCTTTTATTTTAATTATCATGTCTCTTAATGCTTCCGTTGTACTCCACTATTTCCCATCTTCAATAAATAAAAAGTTATCTTTTATCTTTTTGTTAATGTCAAAAGGGGGAAGAAAAGGGCTATGCATATACTAAGGGGGAACGCCTCTAAAAACGAGATCGTTTGATTTTAATCCGACTAATTTCTTTTAAGCACAAATTAAGGGGGAACTTTTTCACAACTTTTTGAAAATCAAATATCCCTTAATATGCATATCCCCGTCTTGTTTGCCATTATCAAAAGGGGGAAATTGTTGGAACACGG